GTTGTTTGCTATTATTATTGTTGTTGTTGTTGTTGCTGTTGTTGTTGTTGTTCATGGGTGTGGCACTGTAACAACCAGGAGTTCTTCTCCACCTGGTGAAGACCAGAGGATTGACAAATGAAACGAAGAAGGGTAAGACCTTCTTCTCAAAAAATGAAAAATATGGAATAAGTGAGGGGTAAGACCACCATGACTGAAAAACATGTTCATGGTTCAGTGCTGTTGTTTACTAATGTTGTTGTTTACTAATGTTAATGTTAATGTTAATGTTGTTGTTGTTGTTGTTCATCGATCTTTTTTACCATCACTACGATTACTATCATTACTGTTTTATTGTTTTTATTATTATTGCTGTTATTGTTATTTATGAATATCATTTTTGTTGTTGTTTACTTCTTACTTTTATTATTCTTCTTTATCTTTGTTTTGGTGATGGTTATCACATGTTAGTGAATCGAATTCAATCAAACGAAATTGAATCATGTTCAAGTATCATCATTGTCATCCCCAAAGTTACCTTCCCCTTACTGGTTAAGTTTTAAGCCTCATAATGTTTGGGTGGTCCAGTCATCCTGCCCACAGCTCCACCAGTTGCCCACCTTTACCACCAGTTTTCCCTTTTTTTTTCGGCCGGTCATGGTCGGTCTTTAAGACTCGAGCAATTACCACACCAAACCACCACCATTTGTTTTTTACACTCTCGCTGTTATGGTCGGTCTTTAAGACTTGAGCCTATATATTTAATTACCACACCAAACCACCACCCATGTTTTTCTTTTGACACTCTCGTTGTTGGTACGCAAACTCGAGCCTGAAAACTTGAGCCATCTTAGTCATAGAATCTAGATACCCTTCTCCTTTGTAATTCTTAGGTCAGCCAGCAACCAGAGTCAAGTACATGACATACTTGAGCCAAGTAGTATTGAGACAAAAGTTCTGTGCCTGCCACGCAAAACATCGCGCAGAGAAGAGAAAAAACTTTTCAAACCCCAAAAAGGCATATGGGCATAAAAATTAACGACGCCAAGTTATTCAATATTTGCTATCAAGGGGCCAGTTTTGGTTGATCGGAGTTGATCGTGGCATGCTCCGGCAACTCCTCCTTCTGAGGCCCAAGCTGCAACAGAAGGATCGAGAGCCGTTGAAGCGCAACCGAGTGCATGAAAACGACAGATCGCACGAAAAAAGCAAGCCCAGTCAGCCCAGCAGAGCAAAGGCTACCGGTGAGTGTTTCTGTCGGAGAGACGGAAAAGTGCCGGTTGGCCAACTGCCGGTTCTTACATCAGTGCAGTGCTTGCGGCGCATCTGAGCACTCTTCCGTGAAGTGTCCCACCAAGGCAGTGCAGTGACTAGGGAGAGTGTCAAGCAGTGATTGCGGTCCGGCCCATGCGTGCCATTGTCTTCTCGTGTGGCGCTTAGAGATGGAGGCGGTATGTAATTAGATGCAGACTGGTATCTGAGACACCTGTTTTGGATTGGAACTCAGTGGGCAGATTGAGTGGACATGTGCAGTCTCGTGCGCGCAATGGCGAAGAGGTGGCAGTTCTTAGAGCAAATCTTTCATCTTTTCTGAGTTGCGATGGTGTTTCGCATGGCACTGACATCTCCCCAGGTCAGCCCCTTCGTTTACAGTTGTTTCGTGACGTGGTTGTCTACAGTTGTGGAACAATGTTGATGTAGTTCTTCCCACTTTGCTCGCAGAAGATGTTATTCCAATTGGCGTTTTAGAAACAATTCCTCTTTCCGGAATGTGGAGAGAAGCGGACGTCAGCGAACGGCCATCATGTGAGTTGCAAGTTTGGGAGGAACCGTGGGGCTCAGGTCTACAGAACCCTGCGCCGCTTGAGGAGGTGGTTGAGGCAGATGTTGCTGAAGTGTTTGCTGCATGGGTGGAAGGTGGTCGGACTGAGCTGGAGGAGCCGGTTTCGTACAGTTTTGGCAGCAGGTAAGTTGGGAGTCGTCCAGAAGGAGGGTGCTGCCCCACGTTTGATTGGGGATATATAGTTCAATCTCGAATGCAAACAGTCAGTGCCGAATTCAGGAACGTGTTGTGGCGCCTGAGTTTTGGGGGTACACCCAGGGCTGAGCTACCGCGTGACAAGGTTGCTGCGTTGTTGGGTGCCTTGCGCATTCTTGCTAAACCACGCACGGTTCCCAGACAAGTCTTGTGAACTTTAGTAGGAAGGCTAGCTTGTGTGGTGCACCTCTGGCGCCTACCTTTGTTTTTCACGCCTTCAACAAGCCCAAATTGCGGCCCTTGAGTTTGGACTCCATGCAACTACATGAGCTTGCTGATTATAAATGGGCTAACGCCCTGGTGCCGCCGACCCCCATTTTGAGGGCCATGGTTATCCGATGTTATCCGATGTTATCCTACATGTTTCCATATTTGCCATTTGTCCCAAAGTTATTTTCTAGTGCTTTTTCGTAGGAGCTCGCTTGGCCCATCCTAGTCAGGGACAGGTAACAGGTACCCCATCTAAAAAATGGTCGATAAGTTTTCAGCCACATCACTCAACCAGCATTCAGGGGCTAGCTTGTTTTCATCCATTTAGTTTGGGAACCCGGGTCCTTCGAGGACCGCCATGTGATCTTCATCACAAAATGTCTGAAGCATTCTCGGATTCACTCCTAGCTTGCATGGGGGTTGCAGGGATCAAGAGTCTCAGTCTTGGATGCTTAGCTCAAGGGTTGGGCTGTAGGGTAAAGAACTAGACGACGGATGGCCCGAGAGCGTAGAGGAGCAGAGTCTTCTCTTGTTAGTATGTGGACACCATATTACAAAACAATATATTCGAAGGAAGTTTAGAAGTCAAACTTCCGACAATATGGACAGATGAAAAGCAGAGCAGGGCAGAGGCAGAGAGAAGAGAAAGATTAGAAGAGAGAAGATCAGAGAAGAGAAAGAGTCAGAAGAAAGAAGATGCAGATGCGCGAAAAGGTAGGAAAGTCGCGAAACACTGTGGTTTTCCAATGATTTGTGGCTCCGGAGGGTCGAAAAGTAGGCTCGCTAAAGCGGCGGGTGCGGAGCCAGCTGGCCAGATGAGAGATGAAAAATTGCACGCCGTTGTGGCGCGAAGCACATGTCCAAGTCAAAATGTACAAAGCACACCAGGTGCGGACCACTTTTGGCAGTTGAGATGTCGAAAAAGTGTACGCTGGCGCGAAGCACATGTCGAAGTGAAAATGTACAAAGCACACCATTCTCGGACCACTTTTGGAAGTTGAGATGTCCAAAAAGTGCACGCCGTTGTGGCTGCAGGATGCTGGCTAAAAGGCAGTTTGGTGGCAAAAGTGCTGGCAAAATTTGGTGCTACATCAACTATAGAGAGAGAGAGATGTTGACAAAAATCATGCCAGCCCTATTGCACCTTCAGCGGAGGCGACACCCACCGACCCTATGAATAAAACAAGAAACCAAGCAAATATGATAGGCTGGCATGTTGTTTTCAACTATCCCTTTGCTGGTGGCGCAAAAGCAGCTTTAGCCCAGCGCACGCTTGTCCTTTCAAGACAATCCGCACTAGTTTTTGGTTGCCATCATTGCCCGTCCAAAAATAAGGCCTATTTTTGTCAAAAATAAGGCTTATTTTGGCAAAAATCGAGCTTATTTCTTGACGGGCAGGTGGGCAGCTGCCTGGGCAAAATTTTGCTCAACATTTTTTTCTGTGCCGCACAATATTCCAGCATGGCTTAGACACAGAAAACCGTTAGACAAAAACACAACCGAAAGGCAATTGCTGACCAAGTGAGCTGTAAACACAACAATTTCTGAGCACCAAATTTGATCATTCGACACCACAACAATTTGATTGAAAATGTTCACTTGCTTTGCATATGACACAATTTCAGAAGCCGCTTGTGCAAGCCAACGGCTGCATACAATATCCTGTGGCCATGCAATGTGCCATCTGCTTTTCCCACTTACGCGTCCAGTCTTGAGCCCTTGCCACAATTTTTGCCATAGCTTTGCTACCTGTGTTGCTATTGCTTTTGCCCGCAATGAAGTTTGCCCTTTCGTTGCCGCGTGTGTTGCCAAGGGCTTTTGCTCGCAACCCAAATTTTGCCATTGAATTTGCCGCCCGTCCTTTTACCCCCGCCACGTATTTGCCAGTGTTTTTTGCCACCGATGTTGCCACTACCTTTGCCCCGTCGGTTTTGCCACCGCCCATGTTGCCCTGCAGATTGCCACCGCCATTGCCATTGCCATTGCTTTTGCCCTCGAGGTTGCCATGTTTGTTGCAATCAAATTTGGGTGCCATCAAATTTGGGCGCCGAATATGGAAGAAATAGGGGGCGCACGCAAAGTTGGGAAAACCTGTAGGAGAGAGCCAGGTTGAGTGCATTTTGTGGGCTTTCCCCAGGGGAGAAATTATTCTAGGGGTATTGGAGATGCTTGGTACCCCTCAAGTGGGCAGCTGCTACAATCACAAAACAAACCCAGAAATTTGCAAAAAAAATCAAACCAGTGACAACCAAATATTTTCCTTTTCCTACTCATTCCCACTAAGGCCAGAACCACCAAACTAGCCCAGAAACTGGAAAAACATCCAAAACCAATCAAAACCATGTTCAACCAGTGGGTTGCTGAGAGGACATTTGTTTAGAAATATTATTCTGACTCTTCTTGATTGATCCTATCTGATTATGTTGAAAATTGTTTAAATTTGTGCCCCAGCTCTTCAAGAAGGGAAACCTTTTTCGGCCGTTTGCGCGCAGCTGCTTACGATCACTTGCGTTTGGCTTGAAATAGACTATACCAGTATCATTTTGATGGAAATTATTCCAAATTTCCATGTATCTCAGTGAATTCTTGGAATATTTTTTTTTTAAACTCAAGGTATGCCGGAATAATATTTTATTATTCTGAGGTATGTTGACGGGGATATCCCCTTAAGGCATCCCTCATAAAGTGCCATCGAAAACGAAAGCAGACCACTTTGTACTGCTTCAGCCGCCTTCCAGTATAATTGCAAGACTTCCACCAGGATGCGCTGCAGGTATTGCCTTTAGTATCGATTTGACACTTCGATGGTGGGCTGATGGATTCTGGGATTTTTTTCAAGGTGTCGATGCTGGGCAGCTGAGCAGCACCCATGCCACATATCGAGACATGTCCATCTCGCTTTCGCTCCAGAGAATACAGTCCTCATGACCTGTGTAAGTGATATACCGGACTGCCCTCAGTTCCAACTCCAGACATCGTCAAGAGTTACCCGAAAATGCAGATGGAGGTGTAGAGACCAAGTTCATCATCATGCCAGTAACATTTGCCACGAGCCACGAGATGTATAGGAGCATAGCCGCGACAAACCGCAGCAACACCCAGTATTGAGATTGCACTGCTGATTGCCCGCCAAGTTGGAACATCTTTGACATTTTTGTCGTGGCCTTCGCGATCGTTGGTGTCATTGTGCCAAGCCCTCAGCAGACATCGGTGTCACTTCGTCTGTATCCATCTGTTGAAGAACTTCTTGCCCGCTTGCAACCGCTATGCAGTTTGCAATCATGGGCACATGGAAACAGGAATCCTTGGATAGTAACGAATATGAATAGGAATTTTAGTTGAATATATTTGGAGTCAGGTTCTGATTCGTTTCGATTTGTTCTGGAGAATCGCAGGAAGGGTTGGAGTCATAGATGCATGCAAAAACGTCTTTAATGTTTATTGACGGTATTCGATGAATTCTACTCAATTGATTGTTGTTGCCCTCCTTGCCAGCATTCCGCACTTGCTTTCCTAATTCTCCATGTTGACCTTAAACGAGGTTATTTATGCGGTTAAGCAAAGGCTTCAGTGTCAATGCAGTACCCTATAGTAACCTGCATGATGTCCCTAATTTGTAGCAGTCAGAAAGCGCAGCAGTGCTCAGGGACACCGCCTTTCTCTCATCAGGGAGCCCGACGTCTGTTTTGAACTCGCGACGCAGCTTCACGACGCTGCGGGTGCTACGCGTAGTGCCTTGCACGACAGACAATGAGCCAGGTGGAGTTCGAAGAGCCCTTTGGGTTGGGCCATTGGAGCTTCGGTAGAACCGCTTTTTTCTTTTCAAATTTGGACGTTTCGAGTTTTCTAGATCACATCATGAGAGCATTTTCTCTTGGTTTGTTCGTAGCCGGGGTGAAGAGAAAATGTGGTCCAAATTGATAGTGAAGACACATCAGCTGATCATCTTAAGAATGCATTCTTCTTACTAGGAAGCCATTCCTGTTTATTCTTAATTATTTGATTTGATTGGCTGACTGCTCATTGTGGCAAACAGGCTATGAGCCTATTTTCAATTAAATTGAGTTCATCTTTAAACATTACCTATCTATTGTTGTTCTTATCATTTGAGAAAATAGGATTATCAGTGGAGCAAAGTCATTGGTATATCTTTCTTTAAGCCCTTTGAAATTTATTGAACGTATTGAATGAAATTTACGACATACATGTGTAACAGTATATAATCAGTGTAGATATAGACGAATGAATGACAGGAAAACCAGATAAATTATTAAGAGAGATGACAGCTTTTACAGCCCTCACAAGGCATGAACTACGCCGGAATACACTGAGTATGTTTTTGCGCGGGAAAATGTGATGGTTCCTAGAGTTCCCCAAACAGTGTGTCCACACTGAAGGGTTCTTACGGTAAGTGTTAAAGGCCGGGGTTAGATCATGGTACGACGCTCTCTCTCTCTCTTTTTCTCTCTCTCTCTCTCTCTCTCGCTCTCTCTCTCTCTCTCTCTCTCTCTCGCTCTCTCTCTCTCTCTTTTTCTCTCTCTCGCTCTCTCTCTCTCTCTCGCTCTCTCTCTCTCTC